CTAAGTCTGGTTTAAGGTGAATGGACTTCAAGTCCCAGAATTCCTCAGTCTGGTTTAAGAGGGATGGACTTCAAGTCCCAGAATTCCTCAGTCTGGTTTAAGGTGAATGGACTTCAAGTCCCAGAATTCCTCAGTCTGGTTTAAGGTGAGTGGACTTCAAGTCCCAGAATTCCTCAGTCTGGTTTAAGAGGGATGGACTTCAATTCCCAGAATTCCTCAGTCTGGTTTAAGAGAGGTGGACTTCAAGTCCCAGAATCCCTCAGTCTGGTTTAAGGTGAATGGACTTCAAGTCCCAGAATTCCTAAGTCTGGTTTAAGGTGAATAGACTTCAATTCCCAGAATTCCTCAGTCTGGTTTAAGAGAGGTGGACTTCAAGCCCCAGAATCCCTCAGTCTGGTTTAAGGTGAATGAAATTCAATTCCCAGAATTCCTCAGTCTGGTATAAAGTGAATGGACTTCAAGTCCCAGAATTCCTCAGTCTGGTTTAAGGTGAATGGACTTCAAGTCCCAGAATTCCTCAATCTGGTTTAAGGTGAATGGACTTCAACTCCCAGAATTCTATCTATCTCTATCATCTGTCAATCTATCTATCCACTCAATCTATCTATCTATCGGGGAAATCATCGACCACGTTTCCCCGAAAATAAGACCGGGTCTTCTATTAATTTTTGCTCCAAAAGATGCATTAGGGCTTATTTTCCAGTGAGGTCTTATTTTTGTGGAAAATACGGTACTCAGTGCGTCCATCGGGCTGACTATCTTAACCGAGGCTTATTTTCGGGGTAGGGCTTCTATTATGGGCATCCTGGGAAAAACCCAAGCTAGGGCTTATTCTCCGGTTGGGTTCTGATTTTCAGGGAAACAGGGTATCCATCTATCAAGTGTAGTTTAATCCAAAGACTAGAAACTCCGATCCACCGATAGTTTCCTTCTCCAATGGCCCAGGTGATAAAATTCGAAAAAGCTGAGCAGATGCCAAAGCCCATAATCCTGTCCCTCCACCCCACCCGCCAAAGCCTGGAACAGCAGAAGCATCAGCATTCAGAGCCGAATATAACCGCAGTTGTCACTCCTGTGATTTGACATTTGGGCCAAGGGAGGAGCAGGGGGGGGGGGGGGGCCCCCGGCCAACTCCTCGCTCTGTTCTGGGCCTCCCGTGCGCTGATGCCATAAAACCAAATGGATTGTGCACACTGTATTAATGGGCATTTCATTAATATACTGGCTCCCTACCCAGTGTGCGTACCAAGCCCCTCCTTAGGTGTACCCAGGTAAAGAAAACACCTGCCCCTTCCTCCTCCTCCTCCTCCTCTTCTCCTCCTCCTCCTTCTCCTTCTCC